CCCCCCTCCAGCCACCCCTGCCCCCTGCCCCCGCCAAGCTCCAGCCCTGCGACCCCTGCCCCACGTTCACCCAACCTAGGAGAGCACACTTTTAGGAAAAACTGAGGAGACAGGGTCCAGCCTGGTGTTGGGCTGGGTCTGAATCCAGACTGGAGATCAGAAACAGCTCATGGGGCCACTCATGGCTAGGGGAATGGTGGGAGCCTTCCCTTTCTAGAAGGTTCCATCCTGAGCCCGCCTGCAGAGTGTAATGAGTCTGGTTCAGTGAAACTAAATGACACACTGCTTCATGTCAAGCCCCACAGCAACTCTGCCTGGTCGGTGCCCAGCCCTGTGCAGGGTGCTGGCTCTCATCCAGCTCCACAGGCAGGCTTACCCTCCCCTTGGGGAAACGAGGCCTCGAGGTCAGAAAGTGGCTCACCTATCCCGCTCAGTAGCCTGTGGCGATCCAGACCCAAATCAAAGAAATCATAACGATAATGAGAAGGAGCAGAAAGTCCAGGTGGTCCAGATCTCATGTTGGGCATGTCATAAACTCCAGCGAGGAAGGCAACACCAGCTTTAGAAAAGTTGACACCTGCAGGCTTGGCTCAAGCAGAGTCATGGGTCCCCACAACCCGGGCTCTGGGACCCACCCTGGGAGATGGATGTGCAGAGGGCAGATGGCTGCCTTCCCCACGCCCTCCACTCTGAGAGCCTCTCCCCCTTCAGCCAGGAGAAATTCAAAGCCAGAAAAGGAACCCTTCTTGAACTCCTCCCACCCCGCTGGGACATCAGTCACTTCCAACTACCTTTCCTCTGAAGTTTCTTCTACCACTAACAAAGGGTCCTGCACAGACACACCTTAACTTGAGTCCCAGCCCTGCCACCAGCCAGGTGAGCCAAGCAAGCCACTCACCCACAGTCAGGGCAGAGCCCAGCCTGTGGCCAGGGTCAAGGTTCTGTCAATTCCCCCTCCCATCACCGCTGATCCTTTGTTACCTGCTCCTTTGGACAGTGGGTGTCCCATGGCTCTATGTCTGAAGACAGTGCGACCTGGAAATCAGAGAGACCTGAGTGTGCATCCAGCTGGATGGGGACTGTGCCCCTAGCGCCAGGACAGACAATATCTGAACGAAAGGTGACTAAATGCACCAACGTGCTTGGGCAGACAATGCCCCTCCTGGCAGCAGGCTGGGCTGGAGATGCCCTGGCCAGCAACTTTGTGGGACTGGGGTCCGAAGTCCTGTATCTGTATCAGCCACCCACCACCAACGGAAGCCTTTGAGGGTATTAGGCCCTTACCTGAGGGATCCTTTTCTGGATAAAACAAAAAGAGAAGAGAGAGAAAGTGAATGAGAGAGGGGGAGAGAGAGAGAGAGAGATTAT